GAACCTGGTGAAAAGTAACTCACTGAGCAAAGTGAGGCATAGTGATTCTGCAATACGAAACTTGTGAATGCTAAAACGTCCCTGTACACTGGTGTCTGGGTACAAAAAAGGAGAATTTTACTGATGGTAATTTTATGAATGTTAGGTTAAATGGCGAGTCCTTGATACCAAGTCAGAAAGAACATCTGCCAGGCTCACTAATGGTCATAGGTTAGAGAGTCTTCTCTGATTCAAGAGATAGGCTCAGACTGTGCAAAGATGAGGGGTTTATGCACAGGTAAAAAGTGTAGAGCAATATCTCTTGAATCTGCTCAAATGACAGAGATGATTCTGAGATTTTTAAAACATGTTTGTGCTAATTTTCTACTAGGCCAAATGTAGTTTATAATTTTGCCAGAGAGTGTGATTTCATACTCCATCCCACCCCCAAGATGCCAGGAAAGTCTGTGTTCAGGAAGAATTACTAATGCCCAATGGAGCTGTAGTCACAGGACAAGAGCTAAGAGGGTAATTGTCAACTGTTTACATGTGTTTGGTGCCACGGCAAGTTTTGGTGAATATTTTAAGAATCAGCTAGTGAAGTGGTTTTACCTTTGCACTAGAGATGGCCTTTTAAACTGTATTGAGTCTTCTAGCTAATTTTCTGTGTGTTAAATATAGTACTGCTTCTGCAAAGACAAATGATGGTGTCGCACACTTCCATTTAAACTTAGCTTGATTGTTTTATGAAGTGTTTCAGGGACGGTGAAGCAATCTATCCCCAAGTGAAGTCAGCTTCAGGTGTCTTAAACTCCAAACTGCATTTGCTTCATGGCAAATCATAGCAACTGAAGAACTTTTAGGTAAAACTGAAGTTTGTAGTTTGAATCCTTTAAGTTGTCTACAGGCATAAGCAGAAAATCCAGGCTCCTTGACTAGTTCAGGTGGAGTTAATCTATCAGTATTGTGTGGAGATAAGGAGGGAGGAGGAGGGAGCAGTTGTACAGATGGACAAACTGGAAGGCATGACTTGTACACTTCAGTGCAGTCTCAGTTATCTTGAGCAATCCTATTGATCCCTTCACACCTGCCTGGCATGTGTTACTGGGGCTGACTGGGAATTCTCCCAGCTGCAGCACAACAGGAAGATCAGATTCTGTGCACTGGCACAAAGGAGGCTTCTTTTTGTCATGGAAGCAACAGCTCCAGCACTGCTAATGATGGTCATTGAAACATGAGCCTTGTAATAATGTAATATGAAGTTGATTATATACCCTGTCTGGCCTGGGTTTGGTGTTCTTAAGACTGCAGAAATCCTATCCTGTGAAGGAATATGAGTTGCCGACTTGAAAATCACAGTAAAGTATCTGCCATGACTTGTTTTCTTAGAAGATAGTGATAGAGTGCTCTCTAGATACAGGCTGTCTTTCAAATATGGGAGGGAGAGCTAGTGCTTTGAGGAGTTCACATCTAAAAACAAAAGTCCAGAGAAAAAACCCTGAATTCCTCCTGTGTGGTGTGTGTTTTGTGCACACACACACAAAATGAATAATGCCTTACCCTCATATTGTAGAGCAATTCTCTGAAATGTGAAAAAATATCAGGTTCACAATTGCCTGTGCACAGCATTTAGTCCTTTTTTTTTTTCTGTGTACTGAACAAGACCAAGATCCTTGACAAAAAGTAAAAGATACCTAATTAAATATTGTAACTTGATATGGATGGATAGAGTTCCATGGTCTGACAGTAAACATTTGCTACTTTCTAGAGTTAGAAAAAATAGAAAGAAAAAATTGCTGAACATGACATGTAATTTTTTCAGTTTTTCAAAGTGAGTCTCTGGTTACAGTAGCATAAACTTGATTGTATAACTTGAAGGTAGTAATAAGTATATAATTGTTATAGTCAGACATCTTAATATACAGATAATTAGCATTTAAACAGTCTTAAGCCTTCAGGTGCAACATGCTTAAATGTTTTCACCACCATTTGTTTTTCTGATGTCCTCAGGTGCTACCAAGCCTTAAACATAGGAGTTTTGAGATCTTAGTTTTCATAACGGTCCCATGAAATGAGTAACTTTTCTAATCATAGATCATAGATATATTTTGGGAAGAAGGTAGTGCTCTTAATTTGACTCCCAGACCTGGGGTTTAAAAACCCCCAAAATATTACAGACTATACTGTAATAATTTGAGAGTTAACCTTGCAGGCTCCTACCTTGGACAATTTACAGCATGTTTCTAGAGCCTTCAAAAGGCTACCTCAGTAAATTAGGCTGCTGAGATTTTGTGAAAAGTTTCTGCTGAAGTCTTTGTTACAAATCCCTGTATAATGCTAAACTCTTCAGACTTCTCTATTGACAGGAGTGATTGTCAGCTGTCTAATCTTAACTTTCTAATGTGTTTTGTAGTGAGCATGAGAGGCAGTGTAACTTTCTAGATGTACTTTTGCTGTGAAGAAGAAATAATCTCATTTCATCTACAGAGCAGACTTTATCCCTTTTTCATTAATACTGTTCTATGTTGGTTCCCAGTATCCACAAGTACAGGGAGTTGTCAAGAACCAAATTTACAGATATTGTTGGTCGTATGCTGTTCTCTACTATAAAAACGCTAAGAACAGTTGAAAACTTATATCTGTTTAAGATGCTTGGGATTACCAATATTGGATATTTGTACTTAATTTGTCATTCTCAATTCTCTATTTAAGAAAACTTGCCTGTATCAGGCACAAGTTTTTCTGTGGCTCTCATTAGTGCGCTGCTTATGAAGAAACCAATTTTTTATTTGTCTTAGGGCTTAGATATTGAGTTTTAAAAGCCATGCAAATCAAAAGATCAGAATTACAAGAAATTCAATTGATGCTTCATTCTTTGTGCTTGTCCTCTCTACTAGATGAGGCAGGGATGTTAGTAAAAATAGTATACCTGCATGAGGGCAGAATTTTGTGTTGCCAGAGGTTTGACATTCAAAGGTTAGCTTGTTCTAAACACTAAAGAAAAAGCCTGCAGTGAATTATCTACAGAAGAGGATGCAAATGTATTTCCATTCCCTATATAGGTCCTCTCTAAGTGACTTCTCCAAGGCAACACAGTGGTTCACTTGGATAGTCACGATTAAACTCCTTGTGTTCTAAACTTTGTCCTTGGGAGCTCCTGGCTTCTGAGTCTGGGGCTGTAGCAAGACTAAATGCAATCTGAAGGTTTGTAACTGTGCAGTTTTTTTCTGCACAGTTCCATCTTGATGGAGCTAGGGTCCTGCTATGGAGGCGAGTCTCTACGTAGGGGGAAAATAGGAAGGAAGGAACAGTTGCTGTTATTTTTAAGTGACAGCTTTCTTGTCAGGTTGTGTGCACTTGTGTTACAAGTAAATTGATATTTTTCTTTTTTAAAGTAAAAATCCTACTTATTTTTTGTAAGACTGTGTTTGCAGATGTGTAATACTGACTGTTTTATTTAGCTTTCCAAAAGCAGTAATCTACAGCAGTGAGATTTTTAAAAATTATTATTTTTTATTAATAAGCATGGACAGATAGTTGTAGTTGCTTGTTGAAGAGGGCACTTGGTACTTGCGTGATGAAAGGGCTTCCTCTGTAGGTCTCTGGACCAATTAAGTGACTGATTGATAGTGGGAGGTGAAGGTGACAAGTAGGATTTTAATACTGAAAAGAAACTACAGTTTGAGAATAATACCTGTCTCTTCAGCACCCTCAAAAATGACAGTGTTTAAAACTCTGTAACATCCAGAGCAAATGTACTTTGAATACAACCTCAAAACTGTCCATACTTCCCAGCTCATAACCTGTCATGGTAGCAGCTGGATGTTATGGAAACTTACCTGAAATTGCTCTAAAATTAAACATCACCTGTAATATTCTGTGGTTCAAAATGCACAATGAAATTTGAGACTAGGAGACTGACAATACTGCCAGCAGTAGGCTTTCTGTTTTCTGTTCTCAGTGGTCATCAGCACCCAGTTCTGCTGGGCAGTAAATGGAAACCCTCCACCTGTGCTGGTCTTCAATGAGAGAGAGATGATCGTGGCTTTCTACTGCTGTATCTTTTTATAAGGCTGGGGCTTAAACTTCAGCTCTGTGATGACTTATGTGTGGATAGAAACATCTGAAAAGATCTTGTTAGCTGTGAAGTTAAAGCTTCAAATATGCTAATATTATAGTATTTTACTAGAAAATTGGGAGTATTTTGGAGTCTTTTTTTAGCGTCAGGCAAAGTTTTTTGCTGAAACTCATTGAGCAAATGAGTTATCATTTATATTGTAACTATCTTTTTAGAGCTCTGACTCATGAGTTTTTTGTGATTCATGTGGTGATTTCAGAGGTATTACCTTGCTGTGCTACAGAATGTTCTACCCATGACCCAGGCAGTGTAACAGGCAGTGCATCTTCTTGGCCTCCACCTTTTGTGTCCCACCATATTGGCTTACTCTGCTGTTTGTTTCAGTCCCTAGCAGTACTCTGGGATTTGAGCCCTGGTGGCTGAGCTGACCTCCCACCTGCTCTGCCATCTTTGGGGTTGGTGTTACCTCCAGCAGAGATGGTGGGCAAATGTCGTGGGTGGGTAAACTCGTTGTATTTAGCTGTGGCAACTGAGAAGGCTTATGGTATAGGTCTTAATAAATGTAATGGAGGGCAGGTCTCTCCACCATGGGAGGGGGACAGTGACCTTGCACAGAACTAGAAAAATTTGTACCTCTAGTTGCTTCTCCTGCTAGTAATAGTAATAGTTTGTATTTTAATCTAGATTGAAATTGTAGGTCTCCTTAGTTTTCCCTGCCACTTCGAACAGATTTTCTTTCAAAGTGGTGTTTTATAGTTAGCTTCAGCATTTAAAAAAAAATTAAACTCCCCTGAAGAAAAAACAACCAAAAACCCCTTTCTAAAGTCCCAACCCTTCCCTCTCCAACTTTTCAAATATTTGAATTTTTTGTTTGTTTGTTTCAAACTCTAGTTAAAAATATTTGTAATTATCTTTTTTTTGTGTTGTTGTTTTTCTCTTGCAGGAGGGGGTAGAGAGCTGAAAGGGATAACTTACTCAAAACTGGTAAGTACTTCTTCCCAAGGCTAAAATGGCTTACCTAAGAATAGATGATATGAAGAGCTGGCATCCATTCCTGGAAAAGTTTGATGGTTACTGAAACCGAAATTCTATCTATTCTTATATTCAGGAATTAAGTCTTAGAAAGTAAATGTTGCTGATGGAAGCCCCAGTCTTATAAATAAAATCTCTGTAAGGCTGAGATTTGGCCCCAAGGGTCTGTAAGTATAATGGACATTTAAATTCATCTACTCAAAAATAATTTTTTTTTCTGTGTAATGTGAAAACCAAATTTATTTGAAGGGATTTTTGGCCCAGAAAGGCTTCTCTCTAAAATTCTGAGTTATTCAGAGTCCCTCCATACACACAGAAGGCATTCATGGCTTTGTGTGTCCTACCTTTGTTTATATAAATATATATGCCTTGTCAGCTGTGTTTCTAGTGTAGCTTCCAAAATAGTCATGATTGAAATAGTATTGTGATATTTTAAAGGTTCCCATGTAGATTGTATTTTATTGAGATAACAGAACTTTGAATCACTTATGTGATTATTGTAGAGTTTAAGGTGTCATCCAGTCTTTGAATATTTAAATAGTCTATATGCAGTGCATTGGGGCCCTTACCTGAGTATGAAATTATAAGTCTTGAAGCAACCACTTGAGAAATAAGCGATTATTGGTAATAAATGAATGCAAGCAAGAAATTGAATGGAGGATTTCTGCCTCCAATAGTTGAAATCCTTCCAAAAATGCCTTATTTACCTCTTGCTCAGTGTTCTTTCTGGTTGAGACTTGGAAGAGTATGTCTGGATGTACAGGAGATGCATGTACTCCTGAATCCCGTGCCTTCCTTTTGGAAATCACCAGTTCTGTTATTGAGCAAGGCATTTGCTTGTTTTCCTTTAAAAATAATGAGATTAAGAATTTTTCAGGCCAAGACATTAATGCAATTTCAGTCATCTACAAGCTTTTTATTTGAAATAATTCCATTACCATAAGAGTAAATTAAAAAATGCATCATGTTCTGTGATTATTCAGAGATGGTTTTACACCTCTTTGAATGTGGTATTATAGATAGTTTATAATGCTACTGAACTTAAAGTTTTCAATCTTCCCTTTAAGTTCAGTCTAAAAGAAGAAAAGTACAAAAATATTGAAAGTTTTTGCACTACAAAATCTATAGCCACTGAAGTAGTTTTTTGCCTCCTCTCGAAGGAAGTATAGGCAATGTTTAACCAGATGCCCTGATAGATATTTATAGACATTATTCCATGTAAATTGGAAAAAAGCAGTTTAGCTTTTGTTGGATGTAAGGAATGTTTGGGGTTTTTTTTGTTTTTATTTTTGGTTCTTTTGTGTTTTTTTAAGCTGTATTGGTTGAATTGGGGGAATTCTAGACAGGGGTGACAGAATGCTTATTCCTGCTTGGGAAGGGAAGCTACAAGTGTGTGTTCTAGAAAGGAACAATTGTATATATTGAATATTCAGAATTTGGCAACTTGACCAAACTTTTAAATGAAATATATTTTTTCATGTTTATACCCCTATAAACATAGTTAGGCTGAGCAGCTACTTCTTTTTCTGCAGGGCAGTGTCACTTTTTCCTTGAACCTCTTAAAAATTAATTTTGAAAAATCTTGCTAACTGTTCAAGGCATAGATGCAATTAGCTTGGATTAGTTTTTATGAACCATCAATACTGCAATTTCTATCTGTCAAATTAAGTTGCACATTAATAGAAGTTGCTCAATCTTTATATGTTCTTTTACAGAAATACTGTGTCATGTTTGCCATGAACGTATTTTGGACCTTACAGTTACATATATTTAAGTGATGGATATTTTTTACATTCTTTTGGATCTCTTTTACATTCAGTTGAGATAACTGTTTTGCTGTTCTGCACTCAAGTTTGAAGTTAGCATGTAGCTACAGAGCAATGCAAACTATTCATCATGTGTGCCTTCTGATTTTTTGAAGAGACACTGAGAAAGAAACTGGCCATATCTGCCTGTCTTTACCCTGAAACTGAATTTCTAAGGGTCAAAAAGACTTTTACCCTCTGCAGTGGGTTCCAGTTTTCATTAACCAGTCTCCCACGTGGTTTTCTGAAGCATGGATTCTTTTGAAACTGCAGTGGTGGGGACTGAAAGCATGCTATAATTGTTCTTGTCAGTGAGTGGAAGTAATAATCCGTGATTCTGTTTTCTCATTACTGTTTGCGGTAATAGGACAGGGAACTATATGTAATTTCCATGTATCCCTTGATACAGATTACAATTTTATAGAGACTAGTGCTGCAAAGACAGCTGTTTTCACTCATCTGTGTCACATGTGGGAGAGGCCCTTGCAGAAGGTCATTTCATGTGTTGGCTAGAAAGTTTGATCAGGCTTTTGTTATTTAAATAAGTAACTTTAGGCTAACAGCAGACAACTCTGACAAAGACTTTAAATGTAATGCTTTTTAACTCCTCTTTATACACTACTCTTTTTGTAACATATTTTTGTTTGAAAAGATAAATGATAAATAAACAAAACAAAACACTCACCTTCAACCTCTTTTTTTCCAGGAGTTCACAAATTTGTCCGCTACTTCCGTTTACTGTAGTGAGACAGCATTAAAATAAAATTCTTTAACTTGGGGAATTGCTCTCTTTTTACAGCCTGCATATCTAATCAAAGCTGTCAGGATCCTTTTGAAAACATTGTAGTCTCATTAGGATGGCCTCTGAATTGGCAACAACACCTGTGCAATGAATGTGAACAATTTTCAAATAATAAAAAAATAGGAACTATTTTAACACTGCAGCAATTCCTTAATTGTGGTGTCGGGATGGAAAAGTGACTGGTAAAATTGCTATATAATGTTTTCCAGTGACTTCCATGTGTTTGCATTTATAGATGTTTTTATACAGATTCCACTATTATTTGAGCATATGGGAATCTTAATACTATTTCAGAAGCTGATTTTAACTTTTAACATATTTCTGAAAAAAAAATTCTCTTGTCCAGCATTCAGGGCTTTTAGAAGTATGTTTGATAATGCTTTTCTATGTCAGAGATTGGGGGGATTAATTTGTTTGTCGTACAAGTGAAGATGCTAAACTTTGTACTTATGATCTACAAGTAGATTTCCAAGATTAAAAAGATTATAAAATTGATCTTTTTGAAGTGTCTTGTGCTGCTTAATATCACTCTTCTGTTCCTTCAGAACAGGTTCCAATTGAAATTACTAACTTGGCACAAACTTTAGGCAGTGAGTTATTAATATATTAATGTTGTTCTGTTAACATGCACGCTGTCCCATCTAAAAACAGTTCTATAGTATCGCAGAAGTGTGTTCATGCAGTACATTAGTGTTTAACTATTTATTGTGGTTGTAGAATTCTATTCTCCAGAATACGTTTTCATCTACACAGATTTTTAAAACATTGTCAGTAGTTAGATTTGCTAATTTAATATGCCACTGCAGTAGGATATTGGTAGGAAATAGCTGCCTGCAAACTAAGATAAGGGATAAGTATGTCAACTTTGGGATATGTGGGAAGTAACAAATTTGGCTAAATGACTCCAAGGCAGGCATTTTGTAGAGCCTTCAGATTCTTGTGTTCGAAATACTGACTGTATTTAGGCTAGAAAGCTGCATTTGAATAGAGTTCTCTATTGAATTCCTGTTGTGTTATTATCTTCTTTTTCAAATGGACTCTTCTCCTTCACTAACCAAAACAAAACCTTCATTTTTCTATAGGACTGGTGTTAAAGAGGAAACCAGGAACTAAAGGCACTGGAATCAGCAAAGACACTTCTAGAGAAAGTGGAGAAGGTAGAGAATGGAGCTGCAGACTCTACAGGAGGCTCTGAAAGTGGAAATTCAGGTTCACCAGGTAATTTATGTACTTTCTTGTTTTAAATCAATAGCAGCATTAGTACTGCTGACAGTATTACTACTAATGGGAGCATTAAGCAATAGCACTACAACTATAGTAATAATTGTTTTATAAGCTTGAAACTGCTTCAGAATTTTATACCCTGCATTTTGACCTGACCACCTGTTGTTTTTTAGCAAATGTGAAAAATCTGCATATCAAACTGTGGGTGGTGATATTTTTTTTTTTTTTAGTATTTTGTAGCAGTAATAAAAACATTCTTAAAACAGTGTTCAGCTGCCTCTGTCTGGAAGGTTTTTCTGATGTTCCGAATCCAGCTTCAGTATTCAGTTGGGAATGGAGGAATATGGTGGAGGAACTTTGAAGTGAAAGGTATACAGTGCTGCATAGTTTAATCTGGTGCTTCTCTTCTGGAATGTCTTCTACTTCAGTAGCTTCTAAACTATATTTTTGATAACCAAAATGTTGTAGTGCTTGGGCTTTGTAAATTTTTACATGTTGGGTCTTTTTACTTTAACCTGTTCAATACTATATGTCAGTAGGATTGCAGTTTGCCATTGTTTTACAATGCCAATGAGGAATTATTACAAGTAATGATACTAAACTTAATGTAGTAAATATAGGAGGACATATGCATATTAATTCTTGGAAGAAAATTGTTACAGCCATAGACACAGACTAGCTGCAAACTTGAAATGTTAAATTTAACAATGAGACCTTTTCTAAACATAGTTCTCCAAGTATTTCTGATGCTCTGCAGATAGCTGAAACTTACAACTGTTACACAGTGGATAAATAAGTATATGATAAGTTGATCAGTATAGTCCATTATATGAAATTTGGAAAATGTTTCAGAATTGCTTGGTGACTTGTCTAAAATGTGATCTGGATGTCTTGTCCGGTACTGCACATATTGCAAGGACTTGAATGGATGAATTGGTAAAATCAAGCTATGTCTGTTTAACAAAATACAACTTACAGTCAGGGAGCAAAACCTGAGAAAGCTAAGGGTGGATTTCCAGAACTATGGATGAGTATTTTGCTCTCCTCAGTAACTCCAAGGCCTTTGTAGTTGAAACTTCAATGACATTTTGTTGTGGAGGTAAGGAAGTTCAAAACTTATCCATGACATTTTGCTGCAGACATAGGAATGTTTAAGGCCAGTAAGTAATTTTTTCAAGTAATAGCTACTGTAAAGCAATCAAAATGTTAATTATGCTCATGTTTGTATAGTATTACTCCTTGTGTGCATCCTCATTCCCCTTTATGCCCAAGTAAACCAAAAATTTTAAGACTGTGAATTTTGAATAACCTTTAGTATCTGTTCATAGTGACACTGATGAACAGAGTTGAAGACTGAGAAATGTCCAAAGAGACTTTAATAAGCAGTTTAAAGTTGGTGGGGTTTTTGACTTTCTTTGCTTTAACTTTTCCCAATTGCCATTAAAAGTGAGATTTGCACAAAAATCAGCTTTAATTAGATTTGGTTTTAGTTTGTGAAACTAGAGAAGCCATTATATCAGAAGGTTGTCTTTTTTAATTCAAGATGCTGTATATTTCTATAATTAAGGCTAAGAAAAATCTGTATGTTTACAGTGGAAAACAACACTTGCAACAAAATGTTGGGTGCTTCAGTAAAGGTTTTGTGAACTATGCTTGCATAGTTATTGCTTGTCAGCATGCACACTGATAAACATTAAAGTGGTTTTGTCACTAAAAAAAAATCTTCAAGCAAAATGCTTGAACTTTCTCATATAGCTCTGAATTTTGTAACCTAAAGAGATATAATATGCTCCTACTTTTCACTCAGGATTTATGAAGAATTGTCTCCTGTCATCTTTTTCTTCTCTAGTATTTCTTTTTCTGAGGACTTTATAACAAAGCTTGCCAACACTCACACAGTCATGGTTTGCTGTCCTGTTGGAAGTGGTGGACAGGTGTCTGTGATGAGCATAAGGAATTCAGCTCAGCTCTGTAGCCAAACTCTCCTAACTTCTGATGCAGCATGTTGTCTGTGACTGCACACATGGCTGTACAAGTGATGCTCAATATGACGTGGTTTTGTTTGTAGAATAGCTCCTTGGGTTTTGCCTCTTTTGTTTCCCTTGCAGAACTCTGTATGAAGCTTTCATAATGCTGCTTTGGCAAAGTACATCTAAAACTACCAGTAAGAACCCCAAAATGGTGTTTAATTGTTCAGAAAAAGCTACTTTTTTGTCTGCTTTCTATGATCAGAGAATCCACCATGAATGACACCTGACCAGATCATATCTATATTAGTGTACAACTTGAATATTCTAATGTCTTCCATGTCAAAGCTATATTGCTTGTCCTGAGAAGATATGCATTTAAGTCTAAGTAATTCATTCTGCTGCTGTGTTGACTTAATTAAGATAAATTTGAAGCAGTCTACTCTTCCTAGTTTTGATCACAAGAGGTGTTAAAGGACTTATATTTAGGTATTCTTACAGAAAGGTTGAGTTTCATGGATGATTCCTCAAGCTGATGTGTAGAAGGAACCTTAAGCATCCTTGTCCTTTTCTTATTTCATGGCAGAAAGATTAGTAGCTTTTAAAATACATTAAATTTAGCTTATGTTCAAGAGGAATATTTTTTTTTCCTTAGGATTGCCTGACGTAGTACTGTGTGATCTAAAAATTTAGCAATATTTTATGAAGAGTTTACAGTACTGACTATATTGTCTTATGACTGCATCTGCAGGAGCACTTTATATAAAAACTAACAGATTTGTTGCTTGTCAAGCTCCAATGTGGCAGGAAGCACCGAGGAAAAATAAGCTAAGTCTGTTCCTGTGATGCTGATGGCAGTATGACGAAACAATAATATTCAGTGTAGATAAATGCCAAGTAATGCACTTTGGAAAAACAGGCCCAGTTTCACATCTGCAATAGCAGGCTGTGAACTGGCTGTTGGCACCATGGAAGGAGTTTTTGCAGTACAGAGTACCTGAGTGTTGCACGTAATTTTAACCTTTGTCTCCAGATGATAGAGACAAACTAGAGAATTATGGAAGAGTGCCAACAGTGAGCAAAGCAATGGAATGATTTGTGCATGAGTAGTTCTTCAATTTGAAGAGGTGAAGACTGATGGGGGAATATGTGGTGTGGAAAAAATGTAAGAAGGAGCTCCATAGAGAAGCAGCTATAGAATCATACAGTGTCTTAAGTTGGAAGGGATCTGTAAGGATCATCAAGTCCAGGTGCCAACTCCTCTTGACTCAAGTCAGCTCTGGTTTTCTGTAATCGTATTAGTCCTTCATGCTTGCATTGTAAGGAAACAGATTCAAAAGAAAAAGGAGGTCATCCTTTTACATAAGAGTCCTGTAATTTAACTTATGTTCACAGAATCTAGAATGGTTTCCTGGTTCAAAAAGTAATTAAAGCAGATCAGTGAAAGAAATGTGTGTTAGTAGCTACTAAACCTAAGACATAGTCTTTGAAAACATTAGAGAAATAAATGTCTACAAATTTACTAAAAAAGATATTGGGAGTTTCTGGTTTACATTGTGTCTTCTTTCTGGGCTCTGGTTTTCTTTGGTAACTTTTTCCTTGCTTGGCAATCGGCAGCATTCTCCTGCAGCTGCCTGAAGGAAGAGAGAGAGGAAGAAGAGTGAATGGTAACAATCTGTCTGTTTTCCTTTGGATGTGGAGAGCATCTCTTCTACAATGATCTCAATCTCCTCTGAGGGAGAAAAGTGGCAAAGATACTTCTGAACATGGGTCTTCCATCTGGTACCAGCCAAGTTAACACACAGGAAGGGCTTTAGTACTTGAAACATTCTGCCCTTGAATATACAAACAGCTTTTGTGCCTGCAGCAGTTATCTGTGGTTTGTGTTTCTTGTGACTGCAAGCAAAGAGGCCAGCAGTTCTAGAGGAGACACAGCTATTAGATTATCTTACCCAGCTGGCTTAAATTGTCTTTAAAAAGCATCACTTGTTTAAGAGCTGTTTAGGAGGAGCAAAAGTGATGGCTTAATACAGTACTTTTATTGCATTAATAAGAATGGGTTTGGAAATGTTATAATACTAGACTCCAGGCTTTGCTATTGAAATGCTGTAAACAAAATATTTTGCTTTTACAAAGGTTCTTAAAAACTACTGAATTTTAAATTGTTCAAAATATTCGTAATGAAAATCTTCATTGTATTGTCACATTTTTTTTCTTTCTAGAAATTGGTTGCCCAAATGAAGCAAGATCCACAGGTAACTACTTATTTTTATATTGGATCATTTCCATTAAAATTCAGGAAATAACAGTGCATGAAACTTGATGATTTTAGATATTTCTAGATTACCTTCTTCCTTGCTAACACAGTGTTTAGAAGAAAATTTATTTATAAGTTTTTGAACAACAACTGTTGGATTGTTTAAAACAAAACCAAAATTCTTGCTATTATGGAGCTTTTTGCCTCATACACATTCTTAATAGTTTAAATCGAGTGACTTTTCTGGGCTATGGTGCAGTTCAGATGAGCAGTAAATTTCTGATTCTATTGGAAGCTGCTCTCTTATAAAAGCTGCCATTATTTGCAATAACCTTTTTCATTTTTGAGTATCAGAAGGTTCACAGTACAAGAAGAGAGAGGATATTCTGTCCAAGAAATTTTGTCCAAACAATATAGCTTAAGGTTGTGTTCAGATTGCCTGTCTTGGGTGTCTTACTAGCCCTGTAGTGTCCATAGAACAGACACTTGGTCTTGGGAAGTTTCAGAGCTTCTGAAGTTGGATAACTGGACTCCATGCATAGACAGGAGAAGTCATCCCTTTCTCAAAGACTGTGTAAGGTCCCTGGGTTTTCTTGTACAGCAGTTAAACACTCCTGGATGCTGGATGAGGAGTGCTCTGGAGCTCTCAAACCAGTCTGAAATGTTGAGTAGAGGGATAAAGGCCGCTCACTTGAGGCTTGCTCTTAAGACCTCCCATCCCCATACAATAGTAAATTTTCTGTATGTACATTTTCTGTATGCCCTGTAATTTTCTGAATGTACATTTTTTTCCAAGCTCAGTGAAGTGAGAAGACAACTTTTAATAGCACTCAGGTAGTTAAACCTCTGACAGGGAGGGTTAAGCAGGGTGTATTGGAAAATCTGTTTTTTTGAATGTTGTTATTCTGATGGGATTTGGGTAAGATCTGCTCAAATTCACTGGTCCGGTCTTCTAACAGTTTGTCTGCAGAGCTCAATTCATACTTGCTTTCAGTTCATACTTGCTGAAAGTGAGGTCATGCTGCAAGAAGCCATGTAGAGTTCCTAGAGTCAGGAAAAGTAAATCTGGTCCCTGTTTCCAATGTTTTTAATGCATTTTTATCCCAGATTATTAAGTAGAATCTAGAACTAGGGAGGATGACTGGTCAATATCTGGTTTTGCTGGAATCAGAGACTGTCTGCCAGCTAAGATCAAAATACATTTCAAAATTAGAGGAATATAAAAATAGGGGATATGCATGAAGTTCCTGTGATGGTGTTAGTCTTGTGTTTTAATATTTCTGCTTAGCAGACTAAACCTGCATAATCTAGTATGAAAACTTTACAACACAATTGAGAACAAAAAAAGTGAGAATGTACAAAAATTAAGGAAAACCTGATTCCCTGTCACATTTCTGCAGAGCTTCACAGGTTTTCAACCAAGGACAGACGTTTCTTAAATTTTTTATTTCCGTAGAAAAGAAAAAATCCTGGTAAAAATAGTTTTCTGTCTGCATCTTTCTAGTACTGCTTATGACTTTAAAATCTGAAACTTTGAAAAGTGCTAGTGTAAGCAAAATGCTAATATGAGTGATGTGTCCAGACAAATGTAATTCTCTTTAGCACAGTCTAAGGTATAAGCATACATGGAAGTAAGGACTTAAATATGTTTGCCTTCAATTAATATATGTGTCAATTCAGATTTAGTACATATGTTTATATTCTACATAGTTGAGTGTAAATGTCTCTGCATAAGTTGCATAGGTGAGAATGTTTTAGATAACATATCATAGCGTACTGTTGTATACACTATGATACTGTTGTATACATATTAACAAACATTTCTTGTTTAATTTGTAAACTTGATGAAATGTATAAATGTGCTTTTTAATGTGATAAGCACTAATGGATGTTTTAATGAAATCTTCTCTCCAAACTGGTGAGTGAGTGCTAGAAAGGTCCTCTGATTATTGTTGCACTCAGCGATTTAAATAAGGCTTTGTTGAGCCGTTTGAATTTTATTGGCTGTACATCCAGAGGTGCTGTATTTGTAGTACACTATGCAAGAACAAAACAAACAAACAAAAAAACCCACCTTCCTACTACTACTCTTTGTTAACAAACGGAATATCTTTCTCACAGATATTTTTTCTTTCTAATCAGAACGCTGATTTGAAGAAACAACTTCATGAACTTCAAGCCAAAATCACAGCTCTGAGTGAGAAACAGGTAGGGAAACAGAGATGTATTTTTAACACTGTGTTCTAAAGATGTCTCTTTTCCCAGATTCCAAGAGAGCTGCTAAATCTTGAAGTGCAAAAATAAGCGTGGGCAACCAGACTTTTTTGATTTTTATTTGATTTCTCAACAAAGGATAGAATGAGTTATTGTGAGTCTGTCAAACAAGAAACTAGTTTAATCAGTGGAAGTTATAGCAATTTTTCTTGTGTTGAAACTAACATTTTATATTAAGGGAGATGGAAAAATGGATTAATTTTGTCACTTTCTTTATTATTATCTTGAAACTTCTTCTAAACTCGACCATTCTGGTTTAGGCAAGTCTTTAGATTTTGACTTAGTAAGTCTGCACTGTACATATGGGTGATTATGCTGGAATTTTTCTTAATGTCAAGACCGGCTAAATGTATGTCAGTTATGGGTACTTAATAGACAATTTGAAAATTAGTTGGATGCTTTTACCATGATAAATTACACCACAATTGTCTTATGCTTGCCATTTGGTAGAATTCTGTTTGACAGCTCTAAAGTATGAGTAATAATTACAACTGAATGCTTAATAGAAAGATTGTTGAACTTGAACATGGGCCTTGTGAATAACAAGAAGAAAAAGACGTAATATTGAGATATCTACAGAATTTGTTCTTACTTTTTTTTAAAACATGAAAGAGCAACACATGCACAAACCCCTCATAGATCACATCATCTCATTCCAAGTAAACTGACTTAAGCAGTCCCTTAATTATGTTGCTTAATATGTCAATAATGGAACCAAATTAGATAAATAGATTAGACCTTTGAAGAGGGAAAAATGCTAGAGCATTGGTAAAGTGCATGACTGTCACAACTAGATACCTCCATTTGTCTGCTACTAGCTGTATGTGTTCTGTTTTGAGTATTACTATCCCTACAAAAATAGCCAGGCAGTGATTTACTTTTATCTAGAAATTTTGTTTACTGAAAAAAATATAGTATGTTTTAATAGAGGAACAGTGAATCTAGGACGAAACATGTAAGGAATATAAGGACAATGATTTTTTAGTGAGAATAGTAGTTCAACAAAAACTGAGGTTTTGCTGATGTGATAGCATGTCTCTCTTGAAGATGATTTATTCTCTAAAACCAGCATGAGCCTCTGCATGTGGCTATGTCTCACAGCAAGCTGTTTCAGGATTCTCTGGTAAGCTCTGGATGCCCATGGTAATTTCAAAATGAACTTGTCTTGATGCCATGAAGCAAGCTGTATTGACTACCCGCTCACATGATGAGCACGGACAGGCAGTGAGACACTGAGTGGAATGTAAGAAAGCATCCTACCATAACTTTTAAACTTGTATTCATAACTCTGTCAAGTTAAGCTGCAGAATGGTCTATACTAACATGTTTTAAATTACCCATCCCTAGAAATGGAGCTTTTTTTTTTATATTTAACTCAAAGTTCTAAAGTATACTTGTTCATGGGGTGAACATGGATTAAGTTTCCAAAAGACGTTGAAAAATAAGTTTGAGTTTTCTTCTACCACACTGTGAATACAGTCTGTATGAAGTCACAGTAGTTTCCTTCTTTGTATTTTTGTGGGCTTGATTATCAGAACAACAGTGAGCTTCTCCATGATTGTTGAAATTTAAATATTTTGTTATTTCTACTACTGAACTGCAGAGCTGCCAATGTTCCAGATGATAATGTTGTTAAAGTAGTATGCCTGCTTAAATGCAATGGTCATGGTAAATATAAATTCTGGGAAAAGAATCACAACTTCTCTGTGCAGAGAAGTGCTCACTCCCTCTTTATTTGCACGAATTTGTTGTATAGAAATCTGTGGCTTAGCAATGCAGCATTTTAGAGACTACAACAAAGCCCTTCTTCTGTTTTCAGTTTCACTTCTTTTTGGGAGAAATCATTATTATTAATTGTTTTATGGGTAGAATATTAATCAGCAATTTAATTTTCACACAGCATGGAGAAATATGCAGTTTTGCACAGTAAATATAATGGTTTCCATTGTGCAGTGCTTGTGTTAAGAAGGGGTGCAACATGTGTAATCTGTACTCTTGTTTAGAGCCAAGTAGTCAATGAGTAAACTCTGAGGGCCCAACTCCACTGTGGACAGTTATAGGATGCATAATGGTCACTGTTCAATAGGCTTTTAATGAAGTTTGAGAAACTAAAGTTCCAGCCTGTGTGGTGTCCCTACCTGGAGACATGGAGCTGAGATGCTGGTGTTAGAGAGGCAAAATAATGAAATATTTTTGGCTTGTGGAATGTTATGCCACCCTAATGCGCGCTTTTTCTTTGCTCTCTTATTTAATGAAGTTGGATGAAGACTTGTGCAAGAACCAAGTCAGTGGTAGGTTTAGCTAAAAGCTTTCAGTTGCTTTAGGACTTCCCTCTGTTTGTGAAGCATTGTGGGAATAGTGCCGACACTTGCTGCCAGTCGCTGCAGTGATTCACAGTGGCTTAGGTGTCTTGCTGAGAATTGATAATGACAGTTCTGTTCAGAAGTTTGTGAAATTGAGGAGATCCGGCAAATTACGAAAAGAAAGCAAGTAGGCTGTGCAGTGTGTAGGCTTAAAGCTGAAAAAAATTCCAAGCTGATGCAGGGTTGAACTGTTACAGCATAAGGTATGTCATATATTCATATGTTTTTTGAAAATGTCAGAGGTGAAAATAAAGGCTTTGATTTGTTATACCTGAGAGACGATGGAGCAATGTATGCTGAGTGTGTTAACACCTGAAAGGAAAACTGCAAAAAGAGAAAAAACTTATTTGAGGATAGCTCGCATTTAAAGGGCTGTGAGCTTCAGTCCTTCAGACTACTAGATTTCCCTCTGCTATTCTCTTTGTATTATTTTCACAGAGTTGTAAACTGTGCTTACTTTTCTAATCGGTGGGCAATAAGTGAAATTCAGTTTAATAGATTTGCTCCTCAGCTATAAATGTGAGAGCTGCAGTCTGGAAACTCTGAGCGCATTGGTTTTGTAAATGGTTTCCTCTTTCTTTCTCCGACCCCCCTTTTCAGCAAACAGAAGTCAAGAGTAAGTTTTTTCAGAGCAGTTGTAATTGCCAAATCTCAGGCTGGGTTGTAAATGTGAATTAATTCTGTTGTTTTGGAGCACCATTTTTTTCTATGTTTTCACATCTTTGGAAGAAATTCATGGTCAAAGTCTACCATTTTCCTTTACTTTTTATTCTACAATAGTGTCTTCTCTTGGCATTCTGATTTGTAGAATTTTACCCAAAATTACTTCACACTACTCAGCTTTTGGCTGGGTTAAATACACTCTTTACAATACAAAAACTTAAAGAATGTATTTTTAAAAATTTTCTGTGAGGAAGTTTTTAGTGTATACTTCTTTTCTTTTTTTTTTTTTTTTTTTGGGAAGATGGGGTGGAAATTGTTACCAGTGACGCTGGTGAAAGGCTGAGGTAGAGCAGGGCTAGCATAAAGGAGGAAGGATGTAATCTTGAAGTAATACCTGTTCTTCTGCCTCATTTCCTCCATAGTTAATTTAAAAATAAATAATATGCACTTACAGATATATCATGATTGAGTATGTATCATAATAGTACTTAATTTTGAAGACAAGGAAGAGGTCATGTGGGCAGTAAAAAGATGTAGGTTTTTTTATCAATATTGTGTCAGATATAGAGGAATTTCTAAATGTGTCCTTATCATAATCTCCTGGAAAAGTTAGAGCAATATTCTGTCATAAATGTGAAACAAAGCTTACAAAAAGAGTCTTTTGACTCTATGATAAAAGGGTGATGGTGGTAAGCATGTACAAAAGAAATCATGTCTCTTTTGCTTATATTTGAAAATAAAATGTAAATGTCTCTTCCTGTAGTTGCAGTGAAATTCATTGACTCTCTAAGAAAAGTGTTGTGGAAACTAGAGTTGTATTCCATTGTATTTCCTCTTGACATTGAAATAACAAAGTGAATCCCTTTGTTATTTTGATTTCTGTATGTATGCAAGAAAAAGTAATCAAAAATAGTTATCAGCATATATATGGTATATGGAGATACTTGTGGTTTTATTTTTTCACAGGGGAAAGACTTTAACATACTTTATTGTGAAGAGCAGTTGAAACTGTGGAATATAATTAGAAAAAATGCATACCATAAAAGCAAGTTTAATGTTATGTATAGGCAAATCTAGGGAATTTTCCCTGTATTTAAAGCTTACAGCAAATGGAGATGGATGAGGTTATTTTAAGTCCTGTATGTTCAGGGTGAGACTCCTTTTAACCTTGCCACGAAATAGCAAGTAATGAGAAAAGGGTATTTGGGATAGATATAAAAAATGACAGAGTAATTTAACCATGGTTTTGTATAGTTGAATAAATGTAAACATGTGGTTTAGATTGACAAAGGAAGCTTGTTATTTAAGTTTCCAAAAACTGTCAGGAATAGCTTTTAAGCATTACTGTTGCTATATTTATTACAGGTACCATAACTTAGTAATGAAAAGATTGGTAGTGTGCATAAATTCATCCTATGAGACTGTTCTTCTTGAACAGTTGTCAATCATAGTAAAGGAGAATTTTTATGGAGGCTTTTTGAGCACATTATCAGAAAATTGTTCCCAAAACATGTTCCGTCATGTTCTGTAAAGAGAAGCAGCAGTGTTTGGTGAGAGGAATGTAAGCTCAAGAAAGCTGGAGAGCAGGAGGGACACTCGGTACAGTTAACAGCTAGGAAAGAGCACTTCATGCTTGTGCATTAGGAGGTAGGCAAGGTATGCCTGTGTGTTGTAGATATAGCAGATGAACACCATCACAACTTAGGGCTAAAAACCTGCAAATGAATTTAAAAAGTCACTACTTCTGCCATTTTTTTTCTGGAGTTTCTGATACTTCCTTTCTCCACGATTGAGCGAGGGCATATTTAAATGGCAGTTAGTAATGGATCAAGTCTGCAAATATGCCATATGAGCATTTAATTACTAATAGCTTGGGGCAGGTGATGCCTAATTTCAGTTCCAGTTGTT